CGCATTTCACGATGGCCTCCTAACGTCGGAGAAGGGAACTATGATGTTGAAAAGCAAGAAGTGCCGGTGCGGTTGTAGTTACCATATTTCTCTCCTTTCCCGAGTTCGTCGTCTACCATACATGATGTTCGGCTTGTTGTCTCGTCGTGCCTTGGGCCCAGCACTCCTCCGTCCGCTGTATCAGCGTGGCGTTATGGCTGCTTCTGGCAATACACTCAGGACTGCTATTCCCACTGGGTACATACCGTTGACTCATCGGCGATTCCCTGAATTCTCTCCGTTTGATCTCCAGTGATTTCATGCATCTCGAAACGTTCGATCCAGGGTGGGAAAATATGCACATGCTGAACTTCATCTGTTGGTGAGAATTTTGAGAAGTTCTCATCATACATCGGACCGAGGCTCGATTGGATCGAGATATCGAAAATCGATCGATTGTTCGGTGCTAATCAATCGAGGATGCTGCGGCGGGCAGACGAATCGATTCGATTCGAGGAATCGATCCACCTCGAAACTCGAAATTCATTGAAATGCTCTTCTACGTCAGCATTGAGGGTTACTTATAGGGTCTACAGCACCTGTCATATTATTGCAACAATTCAGGATGCCTTTAGCAAAGCACTTCCACGAGAAGAAAAAGTAAGGGTCGAGGCTAGACCGCTCAGTTGATAGCCACAGGCACTGGGAGGCTGTCTGATTATCTGACTCGGATAGACTCCATCAGCGAGATACTGAATATCCGCGCACGACCTTGCTGTTCGCCCGAGGCGAATCGCTTTGCTGTGGCACGCTGCCAATTGCGGCGACAGCCAGATATTCTGCAGATGCCGATTCCCCGGGTCGGAAGGATGGTATTCCCCGGGTTCGGTCAGATTGCGCGTTTGCCTCGAGCCTCGACGAACCCTCGAGATTGTTCTTCGGTAATTCAGAAGAAGATTATCCAAATACTATTTCTGAGCATAATCCACACCGCAAATTCAATATCCCTAGTAGCGGCTACTAAGTAGCCTAATAACTCTAATAGTTATCGCATATAGCATAGGTTCAAAAATCCGGATTCTTCGCCCCGCCCCTAAATTACTCAATCCGCCCCTAAATATGCCACATGCGTTCTAAAGTTGGATGAGTCATCCGCTATCGTTACAGCTTCTCTGAGACTGACATACATGGCACAGTTTCTGTCTCAGTGACCCATACCAGTGTGCTTAGCTAATAAATGTAGTTACGTGGTGGAGTTCAGTACGCTCAGTACGTGTTCAGGGCGGCCATTGGCCGCCGGCCAAGATCAGTAGATAGCACGGCTCAACACAACGATGCGAAACTAGATTGATCATTGCG